ACACACACACACACACACACACACACAAAGACCCCCTCCCAAGCCACTACAATTTTGGGATGCACCTAGTAGCATGACATTTATTAGAAATAAAGACTTCTGAGTTCTGGTGCATTTGTGCGTGCGGGGGTCATTATGTTACTGCTATGTGGTATCTAGTTTATAAATACATTTGTATATGAAAGTCAATAAAAAAGCAGTTGTAAAGGGCCGAACAACTAAAGTAAAACACTGACAGTGAATACCAGAAGAGGATATGAATGTACATTCTTMAGGCACTGGGTATACACGTGTGCATTGGTATGTGTAAAACTGTCTATATGTACTGTATGATATATGACAATTGCTTACATGTGCACATGTTGCTAAAGGCTTTTCAACATCATGGCACAGTTCAGCTCTTTGTTTACAAAGCTACAGTAAGACTACATTCATTACATGTACTATGATTGCTAAAGGAGGCAAAGGATTAGATAAACATTTGACAAACAGAGCAAATCAGGATAGAGGAGGCTGAAAACAACTTCAAGTGAGTCCATGTGTGCTAATGTGTAAAAAACTGTGTCAAGATAATTCTGTAGAACCAAAGATTTGGTGAGCAAACAAACTACATCCAGTTACCAGCAGAGCAAACAGGAAATGATGCAATATGCCTTACTGCAAATGCCAGCCAGCATTTCACATGCTGTACACATTAATTTGATGAAAACATTCTTCTCCTTCGTTCAACCAAAACACTGTTCTCATTCCTTGAGAAACAGGATCTTCTGGTACTGTATRATCAACATGTAGTATCTGATTTTACTTCAGACAACTGGCACCAACAGTGTCACTGCAGACCTGTTTAACTTTTATCATTCCTATTAAACACCAGCCTGTACCAGGGTAAGTTTACAGTACTGTATGTTGTTACTGTCATTTCAGAAGCATCACRTATGTCAGTTTGTGAGGCTGTAAGCTCTATCCTCTCTGAATCTTTATTTTATGTCTGATGCTCAGCCTTTTTAAATGGAAACAGAGCGCATTGATAGAGGAGAATGTACAAATGTCTCAGCCAGATGAAGAACAACAGAGCTGCTTCATGCAAGGAGAACCTCAGCTTAGTCTGTTAGCAGAAGCCCAGCTAATACTTACTGTATATACTGTATGGCAACATCACATTAGCTATATATCAACTATTGTCATATTTTATTAGGAACACCTTGTAAACATCATTTATTTATGTTACTCCTTAAGCACCCTGTAGCTGTCTCAAGCCAAAGCCTCACAGACCAAAACAATAAGCTCCAACAAGACTCAAAGTTAGACCTTCTTTAGACCCAAATTCTAGTTGACAAACTCTAAAGTTAAATACAGGTCTTTGACCTTATGGGTTTGGCCATTTGACATGATGATGTGTAGAGAAGTCAGGTACCAGAGACTGAAGTAAACTGCTGCAACCACAGAGCTTCTTCACTGAACTCTGGGAAAATGTGTCCCATTCTGTCTTGTAGCAGGAGGTCAACCATTCCAGCATGTCAGAGAATCATTTCTCCTGGTTTGAAATTGTACCCTAACTACCATCGTTTTTTGGGGCTCACCATCCCTTGGTTTAGCACATTAGCATATAGTGAACTCTATTCAGTCCAAGTTTCTTTTCAAATTTTTTCAAGTTCTTAATAAATTTGGCTAAAATATCTGTTGGTCATAGACATTTTGAGCCCTTTAGCAGGCACACAAGTCCATTATTATTCACCAAGAGTGTGCAGCCATGTCTTCACATTTCCTGCTCAAAGTGTCTGCCACCTCAGATAGCGTTGCACAGATTAGCTTGATTTGATTTGATTTGATTTATTGATTTAGCAGGAAAAGATTACTAAAAATCAAGCCTGACTCAGCATAATTGCTGTTTTACAGCAGGTTCCTGTTCTGCAGCACATAAAACACTCAGAATTACAGCATCACAATCACATCATTATACACCATAGACACAAAGACAAACAAGCATACCAAATTTCAGGAAGGCAGCATTTGCAAAATAGGACGTCTAAATATGAGCAGAACAAAAAGTGTCCAGCAGATGGCAGACAAGATTCTTCTTAAAGGGCTGTAGTTTTGAAATGGACTTTATGTTTTGAGGAATGTCATTCCATGCTTTAGTATAAACATAGAAGAAAGACCTCTGGCCGTAACAGTTCTTAAAAGTTGGTAATATCAGTTGTCCTTTTGTAACAGATCTAGTTGAACGACCACTTCCAGAATTTGATTTGGGCAACAATGCACAGAGAGTTCCATAATTGGCACCTTGGAAGATCTGAAAATATAAATTAATACCACTATACAAAACATAATTCTGAAAAGTCAAGGCATCAGACAATGAAAGAACTGTACAGTGATGAGTCCAACCAGGAAGTTTTTTATGAATTTTGTAGGCCCTGTTGTAGAGCCTAACTATGGGTTCTAAGATTTCATTTGTTGTAAGAGACCAAACAGGTAAACAGTACGACATGGTTGAGAGTATAATGGCATGAAGATAGATATTTGAAACAGAAGATGTCAGATTGGATCTAATTTTTGAATAAACGTATAATTTCTGTTTCAACTTAGTGGTTAAGACTTGTACATGATCACGATAAGTCAAATGAGAATCCAAAGTAATTCCAAGATATTTGTAGGTAGTGACAATATCAAGGGGTTTGTTTAAAAAAGTGAGTTGATTTGTTATATTGAAATGTCTCCTGGGTGAGGAAAAATACATGCACAGTTTTTTTAACATTAATTGACAAAAGCTTGGATGCTTATTAGCTGGTTATTATTCTCATTAGCCATGCTCAGATCAGAAATACTACTACTTTGCTAAGCAACGTTTTTTTAATCAAGTTTGACAACACTTTCAGCTTGGAGGATGATCCTTTCAATAAACCTGTGAAAACATTCAAGCTGAAATAGTAACAAAGTAACATACTCTGCATCCCAGCCTGTAGACTGGGGGAGTGAAGGTCTCTGGGCTGAACGTAGGAGGTCTTGAATGTTGGCAGGACAAACGGCACCTCTCTGCCATCCGGGGGCATTTTGGAAAGGAGGTAATCTTCTGTATTCCCCTTCTTCTTGTTATAGGGCAGTTCTTCTGTGGCAGTTGTCTCTTTAGGTGGCATCTTGATTTTGATCACTTCAGAGCAGAGAAAACCAATGAGTCAGACTCCAGAAAGGTCTTTTAAAGTTATCTGATAATCTGCTGAGCAGGTCACCTTCTTACCTTGGGTTTCCTGCTCCTTCTCATTCACCTTCATCAAGTTCCTACAGCAGTTTATGAAGAACTGCATGACTGCAGGTGGAAATGTTTCAGTGCTGAAGATGAGACACGCAAACAATGAGGCCAGAAAATAAATTATTTGTTATTTTTAAATAAAACAAAACAAAACAAAAAAGAATAATTCTAAAGCAGGGGTCCCCAAACTTTTTCCTGTGAGGACCACATGATTTGTCTCTTCTCTGATGGGAGCCGGGGTCAGTTTGTAACAGAAAAGTGTGACGTCGCAGGGGTGCCTTAAAGTAAACATTATTCTCCACAAACCAGGAAATAAATACTATTAATGAAATAAACAACAGTATTTATGAAATAAATAACCAAATAACCCTCTCTGGGATCTTTGCAGAAAAGAAAGTCAGGAAATGAATAAAACTATCAGTGAAATAAATAATCAAATAATCCTGTAGGAAGAGGAAGATGCTCTTCATGTCTGTGACTCAGGACAGGCAGCACACATTAACCTAACCTCAGGCCTTTTCCATATTTCACTGGTTTTTTACACAATGATGGAAAATGTGAAGGCCGTCCGTCATTTTGACAGATTGCTGTTAACATCCCTGACCTCTCAAGTCTGTAAGACAAAAAATAAACCAGGTGAGGTGGAGGAAAAAATKAAAGCTGCTTCATAAGACGGTTCTGTGGCATCACACTCAGAGACATTTTCAGCTTCACGCTCAGAGAGGTGTCTTATTTAATCTAAAATAATTACAACATCCCATCTGATGATCATGTCAGATCTACACACCACACTGAAGGTGWGKMCAGGAGCCGACACAGCACTGAGGACAGGAGGACTGCAGCGTCTGTGAGGTGCAGCTGAACCAGTGGTGCAGTGGGAGTGCACGCTGCAGGACTTCCTCCTGTTAGAACCACAGTAAATAAAGTCTGGCTGACTTCTGATCACTGACTGGAGAAATGTTTTCTGGTTGTAAAACTGTGGCTGAAGTCATGTTTGTTGTTCCAACAGTGTCGCAGCAGAGCGAGGGTTTAGTCTTCAGAACCACWGGTGCTGCAGCAGGTTTACAGTGAGTAACTTCAGRTTTTCCTTACAGTTTGTTCATTATGACCCCCAGACGTGAAGTGTAAGTCATAATGTTTTCATACTGGTTTTTATTATATACACTATATATTTATTTGTTCAGTGATCTTTGGTCAACCGTAGCACACAAACAGCTGCACTGATCCACATGAAATGAGTCAGGACTGTAGATGAGTCTGACCTACACTGCACCAGCCAACGGTTTTATGATACACCCCATATGTGAGGAGGGGGCTCCTTTCAAACAGGGGGTGTCAGGACATGTAAAAATGTTTATAACTCAGAAACTGTTCAACATAGGAGCTTCAGATTTCTGTTGTTGTTCAGCTCTGATGAAGCTCTGTCCATCAGGTCAACCAATGCCCCCCCCTCCAAAAAAAAGACCTCCACCCAAGTCATTACGATTTTGGGATGCACCTGGTAGCATGACATTTATTAGGAATAAAGACTTCTGAGTTCTGGTGCATGTGTGCRTGCGGGGTCATTGTGTTACCGCTGTGTGGTGTTGTTGTCCACAGGGGATCAGAACTTYAGTCACCATGTTCTCCAAGTGTGACACAGAGCTAACGTGCAGCTGTCATTAAAATATTAGTAAAATTCTATATTTAGTTATTAATCCACAAAATATGTCAGAAAGAGCCCAAAAAGTATTAAACTGTTGTTAATGTGTTTAAAGACAGTTAGACGTWGGTTCAGCTTCTCTAAGGCTTCAGAACATGACTTCATTATTGTTTGTTGTTTATTTGAATGAAAAGAAAAGCTGTGTCTTTGTGTTAGAACCATGAAACACACTGTCACAACAACTGCACACTGCCCCCAACATCTTGGCCTCACTCCAAAAAGACTTGTTTTCTTGGTGGGACTTGTCAGGTTAAATGAAGAGAAACAAACTAAATCTTTTGCTGGGAAATGTGTTCCTGCTGTTTAAGATGTGATTTTGTGTAAAGTTGTTGATGTTGTGACGTGTGTTAGCTCTGTGTTTATGTCAGGGATGGCTCTGAGCTACACAACCTGCTACATTCAAACCCAACAGGACCGTCAGACAGAGGCTGGTCCGTCTGAGGACCGAGTCAGAACCTGTCCACACATGGATCAGGACCTCTGTCAGACTTCATGTGAAAATAAATATTAACTCAGAAGGTYTGAACGAAGGATTTATATCAAATGATAAAATAACTTTAAAAGAGGAGGTCGTCTTAGGTTTGACCTTTTAAAACCCACAAAGAGCCTGATTCAAACCAAGACCCCAACAGGTGAGGGGCCAGTGGTCCCAGGTTCATCTGCATGTCAGTCTGAGCACTGAAGACCAGGGTTATCATRCTTAACTAGAACTAACTAAATAACCAAAACTGAATTTGAAAAAACATTTAACTAAAATAAATAAAAACTGCAACTAAAGCTGTATAATGTACATAACTAACTAAAGCTGTATAATGTACATAACTAACTAAAGCTGTATAATGTACATAACTAACTAAAGCTGTATAATGTACATAACTAACTAAAACTGTATAATGTACATAACTAAGTAAAACTGTATAATGTACATAACTAAC